AAAAAACCAAAATTAGTTCATACCTATTTATTTTATTCAACCTACCTCCCGCGGTAGGCAAATGTGAGACCATGGCAAGAAGAAACTTGCGGAGTTCAAGAAGCAGACAGATGACAGACAGGTTTGTAGACGGACACTAAATTAAGGTGACTGCGGCAATCTGGTCAAAAAGAAATTTGGCCCGATGAACAAGTACGGTATACAACCAATATTTGACCTTAAGTAATGATAACCGCAACATTGACACTACTGACGGAGATATGAAATTAGGAACCGTTAAAATGTACCCTTCTGTATAATTTGAGTAAATCGCTTACGGTTAGTAGTTCGTACTGCTTAACCATTGTGACCATACCATTTGAACTGTAGGCAAAGTGAAAACCTCGGTGAAGTCGACGTCTAAAATCAAAATTCGTATGACATATCTTCACAGTTCTATAAAAGATTTGAACTATCAGAAACAAATCGAACATACAAATCAAACATGATAGGAAAAAAGTACATAGATTCAACCTAAATCTCATCTGTCGCAATACACATAACACCGTAGCGATTACAGGAGACCTGCTTTTTACCAAAACTAGTAATCGTATTTAGGCAGAATAAATGTTGACTAGTTAATAACGAAGGTTTCCGAATATCGCTGTGCAGATTCAGACGGTGCCGACGTTCCAGAGCAGAATTATGGATGGCCCCTTTTGATGCCGCGACGTAGCCAGGCCTTTGGTGCAAACACGTGGCGTAGATCACGTAGATCATTGTCGCCACGTTCCTAATTTTTCAGATTTATTCAGCACAGAATTCAGAATTTTGACTTCTCCTGACTTAACTGTACACAACAGTGAATAGATCTTTTGTGATTCATCGAATTTAGGCGAAAAAAACGCCGATAGAAGAGAACAAGAGTGCGAGTCATTAATTAAAATCTATTTTGCCATTAACGCAGAACGGAAGTACCACGAATAAGGTTACCTAACAAGAATCTTCAAGATGTTCGACGCACCTTCAGATCCAACGGGATAACACGATATATTTGAGCCAAGCAACCAACACCAGCGCCTAAAATGGAAGATGAAACTAAATGATGAATCCAAATCAAACACCATTGCATATTTACAATAAAGGCATTAAGCAGCGCACATTCTGTTCATTGGCCGAAATTGGCCGAAATATTGTACGGTAACGTTTAAAATGCGAGTGCCTTTCAGAGCCATGGTTAACAGTAACATATCCTTCATGACAGGTCCCTAAACCTTTTTTTGAACGAATGTAACTACACGCTATTGAATCTGAAGCCGCTGCTTGAACTGAAAGAAATTTTTTCTATCCAGGACTGAGGACTCAGAGCAAAGCCGATGCCATAAAGATTCATTGACCAAGCTTTCATTATCACGCTTAGAGGATCTCATACGAAATATCGCTGATGATGCTATGATATAGCATCGTTAGCAATGAAAGTTATGCCATTTAATTAAACAACATACTATCTTCGACGCTAATTCCATCATAAAGTTGTTAAGTTTTTACATGGTAAAGGTAAATTATTTTTCCCTCGATGGTGGTTTCTTCTAACAAACCAAGGGAGCCCAGAGGTAGCCTACTTTTCCCTATCTTCTTCTAAATTTTCATGGAACACTTTGATCATGTGACACATAACACGAACCCAGATCTATTTCCAAGGGTTTTCAAAAAGCGCGTTAACGATTAACGATATTTACGTTAACGATAAAAAAGACACGTTAACGTTACAATCTACCCAGTGCTGATGAAAATAAGACACAAAATCTAAATAATCCATTCCCTCAAAATATGGAGTTGACCACTGTAAAAAGTAATTCTAGACTAATTTTTCTTGACATTAGCTCTGGTAATTGCTATAAAACTTATGCTTATCATACACCTACCCATACTACTAAGTTTATAATCTTAAGCTCACATAGTCATTTCAGTAGTTAACAGTCGGTGGTTGTGGTTCTAAAACAGAAACTTGAACCGCAATAATGAATTTCTTAAAGAAAATACACAGCATACGAAATGAACCTTATCCATTTAACAAATTATCCATTAAAATTCATCAATAATATCATAAACCGTAGAATAAGTTACTGTAAACCTACTAGTAGCAAAACAATGTCAAAACTGATATTGTGATTAATATATCTTACTTAATTCTGTCTTAATAAAAACGTTTGTGAAATATTACAAAGATTACTAAGCATTAAATATATTACCGTTATATAAAGAAGCTCCAATAAACATAATATCCATAATTACGTAATTC